ATCTCTTTCTTACCAAAAGATGTTTTAGGGTAAGTAAATAAATATTGGTTATCAGCCATGACAGCAGTATTAATATCGGTAATGGATATAGGCCCAAACTTTCAAATCGGTGCTTCCCTCCATGCAAAGGTCTGCAAGTTCCTGCAAACAAATATTGAGCATAGCCCAGAACAAAGTACTGTTATGCATGGTGGTGGCAGTATCATGCTCTGTGGGTGCTGGTAGAGTTTATAGGACAATTCTGCTAGAAACTGCAAACCACCTGAGACTGGGACAGAGGATGATCTTCCAACAGCACAGCAACCATACAGCCAGAGCTGCATGGCATTAGAGTGACCTAGTCAAAGTCCAAAAGAGAGCCAATTTGTGGGAAGTTGTGAAAATCAATGCAGTGTGTTCATGCAGTATGTTTTGGAAAGAGGAAATGGGTCAAAATTACGTTGTTTAGAGGTTCAAAGCTAGCTGACGCAAACCCCAAAGCCCGGAAGAGAAAGGTGCTGACTCAGGGGAACAGGCAGTGACGGAGGTGCCGCACTTTTCAGATTTTTACTTCAAAACAATCCGTCTTTTAAAACAAAAAAAAAATAAAAATAAAAAAATAATTAAAAAATAAAAACTTCCAGTCATTCCAAAGTCTGGGTTTGTGAATGCGACAAAAACTTGAGGTGGTTCATGAAGAACCTCTGCGGCCCTTCTGGGTCAGGTAAACCCGACAACCAGGAAGGCAGCCAGTGTTTAAACTACAAATATGTCTCTGTATTTACTGTCAACATCGTCTGAGGCCCTTCCAGATCTGACTGCTGCTACAGATTTAGTCTGGTCCCCCCCCACACACACACACACACCTTCCTGCTTCCAGAAGCCTCCCCCCTCCCACCGCAACTTTCTTACTTAAAGCATTTTTGGCCTCCTGACAAAAGCAATATCATTTCAAACAAACATACAGCAAACACTGCCTCTGAGAAAAAGCAGGCAGAAAAAAAAACAGACGGAAGAATTCTGGCAACTCTGAGTTTTGCTCAGCGGCAGCAAAGCGAGAGCCGCTGGCTTCCCCTTGTCTCTCTTTTTTTCCCTTATATGGTCACAAGAGTGGCTGGGTAGCAGACAGAGAGAGAGAGACAGGGTGGAGGTGTGGTCTATTGTTTTTGGCGGAAGAAGTGAGCGACTTGTGAACCTTTGGTAGCTGTCGTCATCGCCACAGTCGGTCTCTTTCCTCCGTCTTGAGAGTGGATGAGTGTGTCGGACGGATTCCCGAGGGTCAGGGCCGAGGCCTTCACTCGGGTCATGTCAGAATACTCTCTGCTTGGATGAGTGATTCACAAAAAAACTAAAAGTGACCGCACGCAGAAGTGCAGACATCTCAAAGCGACGCAGGAATGTCTTTTATCTCTCTGTAGTTTTTTTTTTTTTTTTTTTTTTTGTAAATCTGGGCCAGCAGCTTCAGTCGCACCTGCTTATGTAACGCCGGTGGAATTTCCCCCCTGTTGCTTTGTCTTTGAATGCAGCTGTTGCCTGAATACCTCCTCATACGTTTATTTTTGTTTTCGCGATGATCTAATCTTCGCAGTCAGCGGCTCACGGTCCCGTCTACTGCGGGCTCGGTAATGACATGGCTGGATTGGGCTGGGAATTTTTTTTTTTTCTTTTTCTGCCTAGAAAGTCCTGAGAGGAAAACTGATGATGAAATCGGTGGGGAGAGATTTTCTCCCCATCGACAGAGATGGGGAGAAAAAGAGCACATTTTAGCAAAACTAAATAAATACATACATAAAAGGTGAATTATTTTAGATTAATCTCGAGGATTTTCTAGAGTTTCTGAGTTTGAAGAGTCGAAAAAGTTCCGAAAGGCGACAATTGAGTTTCGAAAGTCGAACATTTTCCACTTTTGTCACTCAGAAAATCTCCAAGAGTCAAAAATGTTCGACTTTTAAAGCTCAAACGTTTTCTTTTTTTTTTTTTTTTAGAAAATATCAGATTCACCAAAAGAATGCCACATTATTGCACTTTACGTTTAAAAAAGGAATTTAATTATGTATTTGCATGTTTTGTTATGAAAAGATTTAAATGCTTAAATAAAAAAAAAACTGTGGGAATGTGTCATTATTTAAAAATCCCATTTATAGTCAACAGATTAATCATTTGTCAAAATAATCGTTAGCTGTAACAAGCTTTTCCCATCATTCTTTCACGACAATCATGCGTATTCCCATGAGCTCTGACCAAATCTCCCTTCTCAGTTGGAGAGAAGCAGCACATCCCCGCAGAATGATGCTGCCACCAACATGTCATGTTACAGTCGACTTGAAGGGTTTCAGGGGTAGAAAGGGGGTCAAACACCGACGCACGCCACACTTTTCAGATTTTTACCAGCTGAACGCCTCGTTTACTTTTTCTTTCGCTTTTGTAGCTGCGCGCTGCTTTGGGAACACGGGACAAAATGGGAAAAGGCGTAAATGCTTCAGCAAGGCGGGCAGATTCTCAGCAAAACCTTCAGTCTCTGTTCTCATTGGCTGAGAGTCGCTCTCCAGAGCTCCTGCGTCGTCCCGTTATTACAAGGTTAATTATTCCCAGCGTCCGCTGATTAAAACGCCGACGCATCTTTTTTTAATCATCCGCAGCCATGGCAACTGTTAAACAAAGCAGACATCAAACCCATTTGCTCTGGAGAAAGAAACAGACAATGAGTTTCGCCAGGAGGTCAGAGGGTGAAACTAAAAATGAAAGGCTGAACAGACGCAGGCCTCGTTTTGTTGTTGCTGTTGGTTCTCAGACCGTGTGAAATAAATCAATCAATCAAAATTCAAAAACATAAATGCAGTTTTATGTTTTTGAATAAAAAACATAAAACTCCTACAGATGTAGGAGTGGGGACCGGGAGAGGTGCGAGTAAGAGGGCAGACAGTGCTGTCGGAGGGACGACATAAAAACAGTCATTTAGAGACATGATATTTAGTTAAGTGGAGGGTGGCGCGTGGGCCGTTCAGGAGCGGCGATGAGAGCTTTTATGGCGGCCGGAGCAGCAACAGGAAAAACAAAACAAAAAAAAAGCATGTTCAGACACACGGATAACAGAGCTGACTCGGACTAAATCACAACAATCTGACGGCTGGAGAGTTTCTGAGTTTTGTCCATGAGAAGCGTCACACTGGAGGTGATCTGTGACTTACGCAAACAGTTGTGCATTTTGAATTTCTATATTTCTGCAGAAAAAATAAAAAGCACAACAGAAATGTAACGATTCAATGGGCTCAAAGAAGGACATTTTTAATGAAAAAAACTAATTAAGTTACAGCTTAAAAATGTTGACTTGTAAAAGACAACCAGATTTTTAATACGCCGCGTGAGAAAGATGATTCAGTTTAGTCTAGTTTCTAGTACACATAGCTTAAAAAGAGAGAGAGGGGATTTGGGGGTTGTAAATCACTCAGTTTTGAGGGAAAGTTATTAAATCAACCTGTTCTATGCATGTGCGAAATCCCTGCACAAATCAAACTCTACAAATGACTCTGTGGTTGGAGCATGGAGGCCTGCCATTTTTTTTTTAACGAGCCACTGTAGCTGGCAGACTGACAGGAAACATGCCCACAAAACAAGACGGAGGCCTCGGGGAGGTGCAGGAGCACGAGGTGTGGCAGAAATTGTGAAGTCACGTGGCATAAAATGAAAACAGAGCAAGATGGGATGAGCAGAAACGAGCAAACGGTAAGAAATCGGCCGCAGAAATGTGATCCAGAAAGTAATCCAGTACAGTCAATTTGACCTAATAAAAAAAGATGTCTAAGGCTTTTGAGGTACATAAAGTAAAATTTTTTTTTTTTGGCAAGGGTTTTGTAGAAAGGCATTTAAAATCCCCTCTTCCACCCACCCGTAAAGACCCCTGACAGAGTAAACAGACCTCAGAAAGGTTGGCTACAGTTCTACCAGGAGCCAAGCAAGACGGGGCCCCATATTTTACAAGGAGGAATGAAAGCAGAAAGAATTTGTAGGAAAAAAAAAAGAAAATCCCACTGCAACACTTTCCAGAATGTCATTTGTGATTAAATTCAGCTGTAATTTACCTTCCGTTGCCCAATCAGAAAATACTGTGTGTTGGTCTATCCAGTGGCGACCCTAAGAGGGGAGACAGTGGGGACCTTGGTCCCCTCTTAAATTATGTCGTAGATGGGCGTACAGTCGTCTTCTTCAGTAAAGTCATAATTGTATAACACAATAAAAAAAAGTGATTAAAAATAGAGATAATTATCAATGATAACATTTCTATCAAATTAATCACTATTAATCTCTATGCCTAATATTGTAAGCTTGAAATATAAATATGCAGTTGTGGTTGTTGGTTGAATGGTGTCCCCCTCCTGCTGCCAAACTCCAGTCAATAAAAATACAAGCGATTACCCTTTTTTTTTCCTTTTGTTTTTGCAGCAGGAGAAATCAGGTAATGTATTTTTCCATAGCTCAACAGCAACTAAGGGAAAGCTACCCCACTATGATTGCATAAAAGTAGTAGCTAATGTGTTCAGGGGACGACGGGCAGATAAGACAGAATTTATATTCTCGTTCTTGGGTGCCCCGCCCCTTTCTGACGCCGCCCTCAGCATCTGCACATATCTAAAACCACTACTGTATGCACGTTTTCAAGATGAAAATGTTTTATTGTTTCAACCTAAGCATGTCTGAAGAATTTCAGTTTTCCAATGATTAAAAAAAAAAAATGAATTAATCTAGCTTTAAGTATTCATATAAAAAGTATGTGAAAGAAGGCAGTGTGATTAATCTGAATATGAAATATTACCGCGTTCAAATTTTCGTATTAATCACGAGTCAACATCGACAGCCCTAATAATTATATATATATTTTTAGTCCTGCTGGTCTGAAATTATGTTTAGGGAATTTTCTTGGTCCACCACTGGTTCTGTCACGTAAAAGCACAATAAAATATGCTGTTTATGGTGTGGAACAAATGGGAAAACGTTCAGGGTCATGGACACTTTGAGCTCTGGAGTATTGGGAGGATATCATTTATTCATGATGCAATGGGCATAATAAATCCACCTTCTTTAAATATAGAACATCTTGACTCCTTTATTACTTCAGTTGGTCATGTGTTTGTACAGAGTCCGTTTTAGTAATAAACTAAAACTAAGCTCATGTTTGCGGTTCCTGCTTGCCTTCAGGTTCACAGTCAGGACACAGAGAAGTACACCCACACACACACTCTCTTTCTCTCTCAAACACACCTTCTCTTCTCACATTATGAGGCATAACGGTGTAAAATGACCAATGGTGTACCTGGAAGATGTTAAGAGAAGCACCACCCTCTTGTGGACAAAAGCAGGAATTACAGGTAACAATGTCAGGTATTCATTATCTTCTTACAATCAAAACATCACTGCTAAAACTATAAATGTTTGTCCCTTGTGTTAATATGAACGAGTTCTTGTACAGACATCTTTTCCAACAGCTGGGCATTTCTATTAGGACAGAATTATGGAGCCATCACATTTATCAGAGACTGCAAAACAAAATGAAACAAAACGTTGAAGAGCCACGACGAAGAATTAGGGCCATGCTAAATGAGTAAAAACAAAAAATCATGACAATAGAGTTGTAATATTATGAGAACAAAGTCAGAGTATTATGAGAATAAAGTAGTTACATTTTGAGAATAGTCGCAATATTTTGACTTTATTCCCATAATATTAGGATTACTTCCAAACTGACAATTTTCTCTTGTAATTGTATGACTATTCTCATTATTTTTTTATTTTTTTTCCTTAGTATGTTCTTAATACTCCGTCATAAAATGCAAACACTCATCACTGGACCAAAAAAATAAACAGAGAGAAAGATCGAAGCAACAATCCAGAGCCAAAGCAGATTGTCTAGAGATGAGTATTAAAGAGTTGGCCAAGTGGGACTGCGGCACCGCCTGTCTGGCACGCCGTAATCTTAGGTAACAGCACCTTAGTGGTGGTGTACAGCTTAGGTGGGGGGGGGGCAGCCGGTTTATTGTCCAATGACTTTGCAGACAAATGAGTCCAGTTGATCATCGTCTTTGATCCCCACAAAGCGGTCGACGATGTCTCCTCCCCTCATGGCAATGACTGTAGGAACAGCAGACACCTGGAGAGGGACAGGGACACCTCAAGCTGAGTCAACCCTGCAGTTTCTCAAGTGGCAAAATGTTCGGTTTATCAGAGTACTCACCCCGTACTCAATAGCCAAGTCTGTGTGATCGTCAATGTCAACTTTTGCCATGGCAACGCGGCCTTTCTGTTTAGCAACAGCCTTCTCCAACCTCGGCCCGAGGATCTTGCAGGGACCACACCACCTAAAAACACCACCACCGCTGTGAGGACCTGCGTTTCCATTACAAATGTGCGCAAGACTTTGTCGATATTTCACTAATGAAAGACATAATTTTGCAATTGCTGCGTTTTCATTAAGAGACGCAATTAAACTCACATGTGAATAAGTTTGTGAGACGAGTCGTTAAAAAAAGAAAAAGCCCCGATGTCACCCTCCTACAACTTCCTGTCGTTTTCTTCCTCATTTCTGCCACTACTAGCATCTAGTTGTTGATCATAAGACTTGTGTGATGCTAAAAAAGTGTTTCAATTGCAGTCTTATGAAATACACCAATTCCAATACAGCCATAAACCACCCAATTCTGGCGCAAAAGTGTGTTTTTTTTTTTAAACAATTTTGGCATGTTTCCATCAAGCAAATTTATTTCCGTAATTCTAATGTGAGAAGTTAAATCTTGATGGAAATTGAGCTAGCGACTCAATTTGCTTAAAGACTCATCATCAAGCAAAGAGTTGTGAGAAGTAGAAGGGAGAAACTCCTGCCTTTTCATGTTGGGTCAGGACACCATTTAATGGTCCGGTGTATTCAAGAGAGTGTTTCCACCACCAGTTGGACTCGTACTGGGCAGGTGGGGTTCAACCTACCTTGTTCTACATTTTGTTTTATCCAAAGGGTCTCAACCCTCTGCTATTGAGAAACAAATACTTGCTGGAGGCGTGGACTCTGTTAAACGATTAGATCTGACTTCGCCCAATTGCAAACGTTTGGCTGTGACGTAGTAATGTGTGAAAGAAGCTATAAAGTTTAGTGGAAATTACGTGCGCCGTAAACAATCACCCCACACTGCAAAGAGAAAACTTTAATGGTTCAAGATTTGGAGCCAACACGTACAGACTTGCTTCGTTCACTTCCTCCTATGTCTTTGCCAAACTACAACGCGAGGCAGACCACAACTGACAAAACGGTGCAGAAACTCGACATCATTGTTCTCAGTTCACTGATTGGCCTGGATGACATTCATTGTGAGAAATCCAGTTAACTGGACAAATTCCAGATGGAGCACTGAAGGGAAATGAGGATGTAGCAAGATTGTGTAGGAAGGCAAATGTCAGGTTTAACCCAAACGCCCAAACACACATCGACAAATTCGTGCTGTGGGGAAGCTCTTCAAGAGATCTGAAGCCAATGTCCGAGGTGGTCAGAGAATTTTGTGCGGGTCACTGAACATTTTCAAAAAGAGAGTTTTGAAAATGATTGACTTACGTTGTCCTTTCAGATGCTCTGTTAAACAAAAGGAATTCAGACGCAAACATTTGTGAAAAAAAGAAACGAACTTCACCCCTCGAGGGGATTTCCTTAAGCTTAAAATGTGTCGGGAATAATTGCTATGGGAACCAGGAGCCTTTCTATTTGATAAATTTAGCACAGCCTCAAAACGTGACACGTAAAAATGATCCATGAAGCAGTCCTGGGCCCTGACAACGAAGGGTAAAACAGAGATGGATTGCTCTAAAGTTCCTGTTAGAAATTAAAAGATAGTTGTAAACGTCTCTCCCTGAAAAGATTCCTCGTCATCAGAAATCTTCAAAGTGCAAAATATTGGATCTCTACATTTATCTACTCTGATCACTTGTGCAGCTTATTACAAGACTTTCTAAAATTACTAATAACAGAATGTTGGATAAATTCATGCTTTTATAACATGACTGCAATGTAGATGAGATTAATTTACAAATTCATTTTGTGTTGTTTTCGTTCTTCTCCTTGCCTATTCGGCGGTCAGCTCACACTTAGCCAGAGTCAGCGGATTTACAGAGTTTGCGACTTAAGCTCGATTTTCACAGGTTCAGTTCAGTCTGACCTCTTTAAGGAAACCTGGACAGGTGATGCAGCACTCACTGCGCGTGGAAGTCGACCAACACGGGCAGGTCGCTGTTGATGACCCTCTCCGTGAAGTCCTCGTTGTCCTGAACGTTGAAGGAGACCGCCCGGCGGACGGCGTGAGACACGGCGAGCGTTCGAGACGGGGCGAGGAAGGACGCTCGGCTTGAGAGAGGATGAAGGGAGGTGGAAAACGAAGACGAGGTGACGGCGGACGACGGAAGGCAGCGGACGTCTTTCACAGAGAGCCTCCAGACTCTGCGTGCTAGGAACCGGTGTGCCATCTAAAACAGAAAAAGCAGAGGACGAATGTTTATGATTGACAAAGGACAGAATCAGCTGAGGTTTCCGAGTCGACGCTGTACAAGTGCGAGGAAAACAAATTTGCTGCCGTTCTGCACTTGTAGGACTGGATCGGCCTCCAGCTTCCTGTAATTTATGTGTGACGAACAAATAAAGTTAAACAAGAATTCCCCTACAGAGATAGTCTGTATGGAGAGCAAAAAGTGCCAAATTACAGTAAATTAATACCTTAAATAATGCATCAAAATTGTTTTAAAATTGGGGGGATACAGAAATAATTTATTAAACATTAAATTAATTATGTGTTGATTTTAGTTTTAAAAATCCCATAAAAATTTTATGAATTGTCTTAATTTGTTGACTTCATTAATCAAATTAAGTGGATGGGATTATGGCAGCTTCTATAATGCCTCTATTCACCTGGTTTGGTTTAAAATATTTCTAAGCAGGGCAGAAAGCGTTAGCCAATGCTAGCTAGCGGGCGGAGCTAAGAATTTTGGCTGAAGACTATGGCAGCTTCCTCCACTGAAAAATGAAACTTCAGAAACAGAAATCTGTAACGGACAGGATGTTCTGTGGCAAATGTTTTTGTGGGGGTTTTTTAGTGTTAATTCGTGATGCACTTGAACGTGATCTGTGCTCCCTGGTTGCCATGGCAACAAGTCTGCCTGCAACATTAAGCTGTCAGACTGAGAAAGAAAATAAATAAATACAATCACTCGTTTTTCTACATTTTTCCGAGGACAAATTGCATAATTTGTTTGTAGAAAGCGGGCGCGTTCAGAGCAATCATCAATATGAAATGTTTCATAAAGCATATAGAAGTTAAGTTAGTTACATTTTCAATTATGGATCCTACAGCGACAATTAAGTAAAATTAAATTGTTGGTCAACATAAAAGAGAAATTTGCCTTGTTCTCTCGTGTCTTTACAGAACTGACAGAAACCAAACTATTTATAGATTTATATGCAGAGAAAATATATATATTTTACATCCAGACACCAGCATCTCAGCTTTAAGCCAATTTAAAAAAAATATGTAAAATCCAGTAACATCGATGGTCACTCTAATCACCAACTGGCCCAACCAGACCCAAAAAGGTTTTTGCGTCTTTAATGTTTGCTATATTAAAGACACATTATATCTCGTCTGCTATGTTTACTTCAGCAGGACAAAAAGTTTTGCCAACCAGGTGAGGGACAGCTGTTGGTCAGAATCACACAACTGGAAAAATACAAAGTTTGCACTGAAAAGGATTAATTTGGTTTACGCAGAAGTTACTTATTCTGCTCTTGACGTGTTAAATAACTGTGATTGTTACACAACCTCATGTTGATGTTTTTGGCACTTGATAAAAATCAATGAAAGGGAAATATGTGACAATTCTTCACAAAAAATATGACTGAATTGTAGGTAAGCATTCAGCAATTACAGGCTGATTCCATACATTAGAATAATACTCTCAGCAATTCCTTCACCAAGTGAAAGACATTATATAGATTAATTGGATTACATATGTTTTAACATATTTATATTTAGTAGAATGTTTAATGCCTGCTAAAAGGTTATTTTCGAAAGGTACTATTATTCTGACAAGCCTGACCAGGAAGTATATTCTAATTTATTGAATAAGACTGTACGGCATTCACGTTTAAGTTTTAGCACTAAAAAACAACATGCATTCCAATAACTGTGGGTACATCAGCAGCCCTTTCCCCACCAACTTGTGACACAAAGTTACAGCCTCGCTCGCAGCCATGTCAAGCTGCTGTCAAGCTAAGCTAAACCATCCCGCACGTTAATGTCTCTACAACATCCTCTTCCTCGGGAACAGCAAGTCCTTTCACAGGACCTTTGTCCCGAGTTTCTGCTTTTGCTCGTCCTATAAATCTACCGGCTGCTCTCTCCTCCATTAATCCACGTTACGTATGACTTTGCCCTTCGTCCTCCGCCTCCTCCTCACCTCCTCACCCGCTGAGCGTCGTCCTCTCGTCGTGAACGAGACGCAACCCCCGCCCACCCCACCGGAAACAAACACTTAGACGGTCCGGTCCACAACGTCCCGCGGAGCAGTACCGAACAGAAAAGACACTTCTCGCCTTCACAGGCAGCCTTACCTTGCTGTTTGGTAACCGCTGAGCCTGGCCTCGCGGACCAATGAAGTGCTTCCGTTCTGGTGCCGTAGATCAAAAAGGGGCAGCGGAGGTTTTTTTTTTTTCTCCACTCCTCTGCTCCGTGAGTAGCGCCATCGTCTGGCCAAGTGGAGCAGTACACTATTAGAGCATCCGGCGAAGAAATGGTGTTCCCTCATTTTGACTCTATGTCCAGCTTTACTGTAACAATAGCACATACTCTTGAATGAAGCAACATAGTTTGATGAATGAGAAAAAGATTTAGCAATAAATTTGCACAACTGAAAGAGCAAAAACAAAGCCTATTTATCTATCTGTGTGTGTGTGTGTATACGTGTGTGCGCGCGCATGCGTGTGTGTGTGTACGCGTGTGTGTGCGTGTACACGCGTGTGTGTGTGCGTGTGCGTGTGTGTGTGCGTGTGTGCGTGTGTGTGACCCTGCAGGGATAACTGGGAATCGAAATGCAAAATTTCACCTCAACTGGATCGTTGAGTTATGATAAAGTTAGTTATCACAATAACTAACTTTATTAGTTATTAGTTTATTAGGATCTGGTTACATTATTATGATCAGATCCATCTTTTTCTTGGGTCTAAAAATTACAGATTAGATACGAAAATAAAAATATCTAAAATTTTCACAAAAGTTTATGTGTAATTGTAAAATTCTGAATATTTCAGGTTTCACATAAAAGAATATAGTCAAGTCAAAATGGGGCGTTAGAGGGGAGAGGCGTGAGCAGCACTACAAGGAAGCTGATTGACAGCTATAAAGAAAACCAATCCTGGCTCTGATTGGTTTTTTTTCTAGTTAGCACTCAGAGGAGGCAGAGGAGCTACTGTACCTTTACAGTAGGTCAAATCAACCTACTTTGCTTAATTTGACATTTTTGACAAGAGCAAAAGAAGACTTAGAGCGATGCATTAAAATTGTTTTTAAGAAACATGCATATTACACATTTAAAACTGGTCAGTACTGAAGCTAACCCCAGGATGAACTTGTCTGTTTAATGCTATATGGATTAATAGCAGCACCAAGGAGATAAAACTGGAGCTAAGTGTGTAAGAAACTTCTGAAAAAAAAGATCACAATGTGTATTTTTGTCTTTTCAACTCAGTTCACATTTGCTTAAATATCTTTATTGTCAACAGTGCACAAAAAATATTTACACCTACTGGTCACTTTTACTAGGAAACATCTCAGTTTGGTACATCTAAGGATGACCAAAACAAACATAATAAGAAATAAAAGTATAAGTACATATTTAGTTTTTCTTGTCCTTATACATGAGTTTCTGTCAAGAAATGTTTACATTTTCTTTTTTTTTATTTCGCCTAAACATGTCAAGAAAAGTAGATATTTTGTTTCTTCTTTTTTATATACGAGCCCTCCATCTTTTGTCACCTCTGTGTGCATCTTTATGTTAATGAGGAGAGCTGCCTTCTATGTCCAGCTCCTCCACTATTGGCCAATAGAGCTTTGGAACCAACATCACGGCGTAAGTCATTTACGTCTTGTGCAGTTGCTCTGTGCCATCTTTACAGGCCAAAACAAACTTCATCCTGGTGTTTTTATTGTGTTACTGACCGCAGTGAAGTTAGTTTCAAGCTTGATATCCCAATATCAAACATAAACCAGACACACTGAAGAAGTTTCCTGATGTTGACCTTCGTCCCTTAACTTCAATTAATTCACTGAAATGCTTCAGTGAATTCAGTGAATGCTTGGGTAACCTGAGTGATAAACAGTGATAAACAGGAAGTGAGCAGAGAGAGACGGCGCCAGTCAGGACGGCTTTCACCAGCAACATCGTCCAGCTGTCTGGCATGAAGACCTGGACAAGCAACCTGGGGACACGAGAGAGACGGAAGAGTTTGATGAACTATTTTTTAAATAATTGAGAAATATAGAAAATTCACAAAAAAAAAAACAGACTTCATCATACAATCCTAAAGCTACACAGGGGTCAACATCATTCTGCAGCTACTGATGTCACTGACATCATTCAATGTGAAATTATCATGGACCCATGTTTCCTCTGTGACATCACAGGTGATAGCGGCACCTGTGAGTCAGTCAAGTAAACATTGACCTGTTTACATTGACAATGTAAGCAAGTCAATGTTTACTTACATTGACATTCAGTACGTTAAATATTGATAATAAATATGCAATAAATATGAAATGATGTAAAATGTTTACTTTAGGTTCAAGGCTAATGTTAGCAGGATGGCTATTATTAGCGTATTGACTCACTAGCATGTTGATACTATTTGAATCACTTAAGCTAAACTTAGCATTTTGGATCATTTTAATTTATTCACTAATGTTAGCATGCTGAATTCTGTTAGTACACTAATCTAATTTTGTTTGTCAACATGCTAGCAGTAACCCTTATCCTACTGGTAGTTCCAATAGACTAGTGACTCAATATGCTAATGATAGCCATCATGCTTGCATTAGCTTTATTCTTATTATAAGCATTTTACATAATTTCATATTTATTAGCAATATTTATACTGAATGGATTAAGTCAATGCTAATTAATGTGGACACACTGCACCCCAGCTCTTTGGCCCCTCCTACAGGTGGTGAGCCCATTGGAAGGGGGACTCATGTTTCCCTTCCAATGGGCTCACCTCCAGGCCTGGCTCCAGAGTGGGGCCCCGGTGGCCCGCGTCCGGGCGACGGAACACTAACAACATTGTCAGAATTCATAATAAGGGGTTTTAAGGCTGCGCTTAGTCTGGTTCCTCACCTAGAATCTCTCTACCAGGGGCATAAAGCTCCAGATAGCACGGCTCCTGGGATCATTGGGACACTCAAACCCCTCCACCACGTTAAGGTGGCAGCCCATGGAGAGGACCTAACTAACCTATCTAACTAACTAACAAATAAAAAAAACTAAGAACTAAATAAGCAAGTTTAAATGACGTACAATGGATATAAAAACCCCTGTTCAAATGCCAGGTTTTTGTGATGTAAACACATGACAAGACAAACATTTTCACAACTTTGTCCTCCTTTAACGTGACCTTTACCTGTACAATGCTATTGAAAAACAAACAGAAACCTTTAAAGCATAAAAATATTCAGTGAAAATCTTACAATAACCTGGTTGGCTAAATATGCAGCACCTTTGGCTTTCACAACAGCACTCAGTCTTTTTGGATAGGACTCTATCAGCGTGGCACATCTTGATGTGGGAATATTTGCCCACTCTTCTTTGCAAAACCGCACCAAATCCAACAGATTGCGAGGGCATCTCTTGTGCATAGCCCTCTTCTGATCACCTCATAAATGTTTGGTGGGATTGAAGTCTGGACTCTGGCTGGACCATTCCAAAGCTTTTATCTCACTCCATTTTTTGTTGATTTAGATGTGAGCTTTGGGTCATTGTCAAGCCGAAAGATGAAGTTCCTCCTCGTCTCCAGCTTTCTAACAGAAGGCTAATGGTTTTGTGCCAACACTGACTGATAATTGGATCTGTTGATGATTCCGTCCACCCTGGCCAAGGCCCCAGTTCCAGCTGAAGCAAAACAGCCCCAAAGCATGATGATACCTCCACTATGCTTCACTGTAAGTATGGTGCTCTTTTGTAGGTATGAGCACTGTTGTTTTTGCACCAAAGTCAACTTTTGGAAATTTGTGCAAAAAGTTCAACTTTGGTTTCATCAGACCGCAACACATTTTCCCACATATGTTTGGGAGATTTCAGATGTGTCTTTGCAAAATGAAGCTGGGCTTTGGTGTTTTTCTTTGAAAGATAAGGCTTCTGTCTTGCCGCCCTTTCCTTCAGCCCAGACATATGAAGAAGATGGGAGGTTGTTTTCACGTGTACTGCACAGCCAGTACTTGCCAGAAATTCTTGGAGCTACTTCAGCGTTGATGTCGGCCTCTTGGCAACCTAACCAGTTTTCTTCTTGTCTTTTTCTTGTCAAGTTTGGACGGACGTCCTGTTCTTGGTGATGTTACTGTTGTACCATGGTTTCTCCACTTGATGGTGACAGTCTTCACAGTGTCCCATGGTATATTTAATGAACTGGAAATCCTGAGTTGTTCATTTTCACTGCAGCTCCTTGGAAAATTTCTGTTTGTTTTTCAATTTCATTGCGAAAATGCTTGTCTTGCTGATATAAAACCTGGCATTTGAACAGGGGTGTAGACTTTTTATAACCATTGTAACTCTAATCAAACAATTAAAAAACGATCTAACTACTAGCAAACAATTAAAAACGACCTAACTACTAAGCAAACAATTAAAAACCGAACTAACAACTAAGCGAACAAGTAAAAAACGATCTAACAACTAAGCAAACAAGTAAAAAACGACCTAACAACTAAGCGAACAAGTAAAAAAACGATCTAACAACTAAGCGAACAAGTAAAAAACGACCTAACAACTAAGCGAACAAGTAAAAAACGAGCTAACAACTAAGCGAACAAGTAAAAAACGAGCTAACAACTAAGCGAACGAGTAAAACGACCTAACTAGTAAGCAAACAATTAAAAACGAGCAAATGCTAAGCGAACAAGTAAAAAAATCCCTAACTATCTAACTAACAACTAATTAAAAATTCACCCCACTACTTCAATCGATGCTCCACAGGCGTAACCTCATCAAACCTGGAGACTCAAAATCCTCTCCCAGCGAGGTCTTCGCGTTAACGAAGGCCTCCCTGGGTAAACCAAATTTTGACTCCAGTTCGACTCGATAGGCCCGAGAGTCTTTGGCTGATGGGATCTCTGGATAGGTGTCCAGATCTATGATGTCCGACACATCATCTGGAGGAAAGTCGGGCTCCAGAGGTGAGATGTCACACCTGGCGTCCACTTCCAAAGAAGAAATCAAGGCAGCCGTGGCCTTGGTCATGGTCTGAGAGGGTCCAGGGTTTTCTGGGAGGTTCACTGGAGCAACTCGTGATGAATGTCTCCGAGCGAACCTCCTGAAAAAACCCTGGAGCCTCTCATTCAG